TTCAAAAACCAAAAATTTGTGGAAAAAAATATGAAAATTTATGCCAGGATATATTTATTAAGAAATCGTGACAAAATTACGTTTAAACAATTTTATAATAACTCGAGATTTGATGTACATATCTGTGCGATTTATTGAAAATGAAATGAATGAATGTGTAATTTGTTGAAACAGGTGATAAAAAATCAATCGGATCATCCCAAACGGGCCTCTACAGTGAGGATGATTTGAATTTGATTTCAGCCTTTAACAATGATTTTGAAACAGAAAATATCGATCAAGTGTGGCGATATCAAAGGGAAAGTCCTTTTCCGGGATCTTCGAAGGCTGAGGCATCAGCAACAGCCAACGCTTATACTAACAATGATAACCCAAATTATCGGCCAATAAACGATCGAAGGAAAGATCGATACCAATCGCGGGAAGATGATGATATTTATCGGAATGAATACAACACAGTGCCATCAGGTCACTCCGAAGCTTCAGCAAGTGCTACTGCTTCAGCAAGTGCAACTGCTTCAGCAAGTGCAACAGCCAACGCAAACAGCAATAATAATCATAACACCAAGAAAATTCCAACGAGTAATTCCGGAGGGAATGCAAATGCCAAGGCTTCAGCTAACGCTAACACTAACACTAACAACAATTATAACTCAAACAAAAATAATAATAATTATGATGAAGTCGTCGGATTGCCGATGACTAATTCCGGATCTAGTGCAAATGCTGTGGCTTCTGCCGCAGCCAATGCTGACCACAGTAATCAAGTCAATAATCGACCGGTCAATGAACCACCGATTCCTCAACATCAAACTCCAATCAATAATAATTATTACAATGAATTTCCCAGATTGCCAATAACTAATTCGGAATCTACTGCAAATGCCGCGGCTTCTGCTGGAGCGAACGCTAACAATAATTATTATCAATCTGGTTATAGACAGGTCAATGAGCAACCGAAGATTCAGTATCAGATTCCAATTAATAACAGCGGTAATAATTACGATAATCATCAGCATGGTCCCGATTGCGGATGTCGCGTTGCGGAAGAGCCGAAGGGTTATAATAATTATAACGAATACCGATCCCCTTCAATAAGAAATTCCAACGCGAATACTAATAATGGAAACGCGAATTCCGTACCGGTTCCAAACAACTCTCACCCACCGGTCGATTATTTCCATCACAACGAATCACCAGTTGTGACGATCGGTGATACGACAGCAGCTTCCGCCAACACTAACACCGGCTCAACCGCCTATCGACCTTTCAGACCTCACGAGGTCAATCCAAATTCCCCTGGAAGATACCCAGAGCCTAACTACATCACTCTTCATCTCAATCCACAAACAACTGATTACAGTAACGCCAATTCAAATGGAGTATTAATTCCAATTAGACGATTAGAACAATCAATTAACAATGATCGTTACCGACCCCGACCAATACAGTCTGGGGGAATGACACTGACCTTCAATATCGTTGAATCAGACGGGCCTACGACCGTTGGAAAACCACAGGGACCGGATTGTGTCCGGTGTAATGGACAGAGACAAATCATTGCTGGAGCTGATGCCGATTCGAGGGCAACAGCTAATGCCGTTAGCAATGGTCAATTCCCAGGATCTCCAAATGCTGTATTGGTACCTGTTGTTGTTGTTGATGGACCACCAGACCGTTCATACCGACCACAGCGACCAACACCTCCACCACGTCGTCATCATCATCATCATCATCACCATCAACGCCCACAAAAACCAAAACCGTCATCACCATCGGCCCAACCTCCACCATCACCAATAATACCTCAACCAGCCTATCCCATTGCCCCAATACCTCAGATACCTCAGCAACCCCAGCAACCGGTAGGGACCACCGTCATCCAGCAGACGGTTCCCACGCAGCCTCCAGGTGAGCATCACGTCCCTTACAGATAATCCGTGCAGCCAGTAACGTTGGATATATTTAGATATCTCATCCTGGTACACTTATCTGTTTATGGAACGTAGATGGTAGAAAGGTCATCGGTTGGAGGACTAACTCTGTGACTAATTCACTCCTTAGATTGCCATAAACCCTAGGCTTTTAAGATACCAACGACCTCAATGCTCCAATTCCAGATTTTACAGCTAGTTTTACGATCACCCGCAATTATTCCTATTCATCACGAGTAGTTATTGATGTAATTATAGTCGCAGCGCAATATCTTACGGAGAATGAATGACGAATGTGTTCATAGGTGACGGATACAATCCCGGATCTCAGGGTGGAAGTCAT